ACCGTTAATGAAAACTGTAATACTAAAGCGAACATGGCAGGGCAAACTGACGCTGTGAAATATGTGTCTGAGGCGTAATATATATATATATATATATATATATATATATATATATATATATATATATATATATATATATATATATATATATATATATATATATATATATATATATATATATATATATATATATATATATATATATATATATACATATATATATATATATATATATATTACGCACTGTTTTCGTTCAACAAAGTAAATAATGCAGTATAACAATACAACCATGCATACATTTCATGAGATCAAAATAAATTATAAAATGTATACATAAAACGTCTAACGTTTTTTTAATGAAGACCCCCTTCTTTAAACGTAGATAACAGGTATACCAACATTGCACTCATCATTGCAAGTAACATTAACTAAACATACCACCTAATTAAAACTTTATAAAAAAAGTAACGCACACACCAATGCAATTAACTCTACCTAATTAAACCTGAATGAACAGCTTTAACACCTCCAAAAGAAGCCACAGAAGACATAACAACATCAACAGGTAACAAGTACATCACAGCCAGACACTTCAAGCCTCAGAAGTCACCACCAGAACATCAGACACCTCCAGCCTTAGAAGTCACCACCAGAACATCAAACACCTTCAGCCTCAGAAGTCACCACCAGAACATCAGACACCTCCAGCCTCAGAAGTCACCACCAGAACATCAGACACCTCCAGCCTCAGAAGTCACCACCAGAACATCAGACACCTCCAGCCTCAGAAGTCACCACCAGAACATCAGACACCTCCAGCCTTAGAAGTCACCACCAGAACATCAGACACCTCCAGCCTCAGAAGTCACCACCAGAACATCAGACACCTCCAGCCCAAGAAGTCACCACCAGAACATCAGACACCTCCAGCCTCAGAAGTCACCACCAGAACATCAGACACCTCCAGCCTCAGAAGTCACCACCAGAACATCAGACACCTCCAGCCTTAGAAGTCACCACCAGAACATCAAACACCTTCAGCCTCAGAAGTCACCACCAGAACATCAGACACCTCCAGCCTCAGAAGTCACCACCAGAACATCAGACACCTCCAGCCTCAGAAGTCACCACCAGAACATCAGACACCTCCAGCCTCAGAAGTCACCACCAGAACATCAGACACCTCCAGCCTCAGAAGTCACCACCAGAACATCTACATATACAGCAACACAAATCTGCTTTTATCAATGTAAGGCCCACAGTGTGGACCACACCTGGAGGCCCACAGTGAGGACCACACCTGGAGACCCACAGTGTGGACCACACCTGGAGGCCCACAGTGTGGACCACACCTGGAGGCCCACAGTGTGGACCACACCTGGAGGCCCACAGTGTGGACCACACCTGGAGGCCCACAGTGTGGACCACACCTGGAGGCCCACAGTGTGGACCACACCTGGAGGCCCACAGTGCGGACCACACCTGGAGGCCCACAGTGTGGACCACACCTGGAGGCCCACAGTGTGGACCACACCTGGAGGCCCACCGTGTGGACCACACCTGGGGGCCCACAGTGTGGGCCACACCTGGAGGCCCACAGTGTGGACCACACCTGGAGGCCCACAGTGTGGACCACACCTGGAGGCCCACAGTGTGGACCACACCTGGCAGATTTCAATTAGACTTTAATGTCAACATTTATACACCTTGATGTTGGATCAGTCACACAGTACCTATTTAATAACTTGTTTAAATTTAGTTAAAATATTGTACACTGTCTAATATTGAAATCTGTAGTTGTAGAATGTTATCTTTCAAACCCAAATGTCTAGACCTTGGCACTAGATAAAAGTAGTAGGTTGTCAACTGAGGTGTATGGTGCATCATGTCGGAAAGAAAGTGTGGTGTACACATACATGTCATAACAGCTAGAACCAACTAGTTTAACATATTTTTACCACAACACCAAGGGGTTTGTGCTTCACACATGAGTCTATTTAGGGAATACCCAGACTCAACAAAATCTGGTGTGTATAAATGTGAGACACACGCCGTAGACCTCACTGGCAAGGTTTATTTCTGACAATTTGAGAACAGTTAAGATTAAAAAGAAATATATGTGTTGAAATGTTTTCATGATATTGCATGTCTGTCAGTTAGTTAGCCATAAAAGTATGACTCCATTAAGTGAAACTTCCTTCTATGATTTGTGCATTATATTCATAAAAATTGCATTGGTAGCGCCTAGACCGCTCTCTAGAGGTCTACATAGAGTGCCCATTCCTCACGTCTATTTAACAAGGCAGACATGACATGGAGACTTTTACACCAAGAGAAGACTTTATGTCAGGTTAGACATTATTTAACTTGCATTGTGCTGTAGTTGTTTGGGAAATCCTTGTTTAGTTCCTACATTAGATGAAAATAATTTGATCTCCTTCGATACTCGACAATTTACAACTACTTCTGCCTTTTTTAGTTGACTTGTTTGTTAGGTAGAATAAAAAAAATCAATAATGTTTTTCAAGTTTCCCAAAGCATACAACTTCTGAAACACCAATTATCTATTTCTTTTCATTAAATTTACATAGCAATCTGTGAACAAGAAATGTAAAACAAAAAAAAAACTTTCTGCATTATATAGGGATTGGGAGTGAACTTAAGTGGCGTGCTCTTACTTTTCAGACACTCCCACTCCATCGTCGGCCACACCCCCACCCGATCGCCGGCCACACCCCCACCCCATCGCCGGCCACACATCTACCCTATCGCCGGCCACACCCCCACCCCAACGCCGGCCACACCCCCACCCCATCGCCGGCCACACCCCCACCCCATCACCGGCCACACCCCCACCCCATCGCCGGCCACACCCCACCCGATCGCCGGCCACACCCCCACCCCATCGCCGGCCACACCCCCACCCCATCGCCGGCCACACCCCCATCCCAACGCCGGCCACACCCCGTCACTCTGCAAACGATACAGTCGTGTGAGCGGAGTCCCGTGACATACCATTTAATGTCTAGAATACAATTTTACACACAATGATATTTTAAATTATCAACTTCAATGTTTTCCGTAAGATAATACTTGTTTTTTTAACAACAGCTATGTGATAAAAAACAACGATTAGTGTCTTTGGGATGTAGCCTGTTGAATAATTTGTAAAATAAATGATTGTACACTAAGAAACAGAAAGTTTAATAGTTTAAGAATAATTAGATTTGCAACAAACAAAAAAATAATAATTATTAAGCAAATAGAAAGACAAGTAAAAGCCTAAAACCTGTTTAAAAAAAAAAAACGATTATTCAGTGAGCGATGTAAGCTCGATGATTAAATCCTTAAATATTGACTCAAAACGATTTTTGCTTATTCATATGTACCATGTGTCATGATTTACAATTTGATAGGCGATAGTATCAGTATGTCCAGTTGTGTGGAGATATTGTATCCTGCAATGTGATATTTTATCAAGACAGTAATGGCAGTATGCGACATTTGTACCTGTAATGTGTTAAATTATCAAAACAGTGTTGACAGTGTGTTACATTTATATCTTGAGATGTGATACTTTATGAAGAAGAAAAATTCGTCTTCTGTGAGTATTATTGTAGTGTTGAAATTATGTTATTTAAGTTACAACACACACACACAACTCTCTGCGGTGAAGAGCTATTAGAGCAGTGTTTCTTCCAGACTTTTTTCTCCGGGAGGGGGGGGGCACTTGAAATTTTCGGGGGGGGGGGGGGGGCGGTAGACTTTCTTCGGGGGGGGGGGGCGGACACTGTTAAAAGTATATATTTTCTATATAAATTATATAAATTTCATTTCGTTCCGGGGGGGGGGGGGGCGGTAAAAAATTTTCGGGGGGGGGGGGGCAGCTAGATTTCATTAAACTCTAATATACAACACTCTAAATACATTATAATTCAAGAAAGTCCAAATTAAAACTATTATCAATCATCTATTTTTTTTTAAACTTCTGTGCCAAATGTGTAACACACTTCTACAAACTCAATGGAGATTACAAATTGGGAATATAATAATTGTGTGCAGCATATACGCCAGAATATATTCTCCAATTATCAAAGTTAGCACTCTTTCACTCTTAATATTTTAACTGATTGTCTTATTAAGAAAATATCTTCAATTAGTTATTTGTTAAGGAAATATTTGTTGAAATAAAAATATTTTTGAATTGTATGTAAAAAATTCATTCACATTTGCTTAAACTAAACCTAAATCATTATAACATTACAAATTCTAAATAGCTATAAGTTCTATGAATTGACTATAACATAACTAAATTATGTATTCTGTACATTTTTTATATACATTATTACACAACAAAGTATAATTTATAATCGTATAAATTATGAATCAATAATTGTTCCTTTAAAAAAAATTAAACGACTTTAAAAATCTCTGTTGCGGGCTATTGATTATGGTTATGAAAAATTTACAATAGATGTTGATTGAACTGAAGATCCCAATGTTTTCAGGCAATTAAATCCTTGTTATTTTGAGTGCTTGGTAACTCTGATTATCGATCATAGTCACTTGTACATGCCACAGTAAGGCAAACCATTTGGGCCGAAGTCTAATGACCAAGTCTTTTTTTTATTTCTAATTAATTTTATTTTTGAAGTGCAACATAATTTTTTTTTTTAAATGGCCATATGTTTATTCAACTAAATCAAAAAATACACAGATTATTTACTTTTATTGAATGTGAAGGTCAGCGCCATTTAGAAAGTATGACATTTTTATTTGAAATATTAGAACAAAGAAAATATAATTAATACAAAGACTTACAATGCTGGATCATATATGTTCAGTCAACAGAAAAGTTTCCCTTCTTTTTGTACTCCCAAATATAGTATCTAATACTCCAAAATTAAAGAATAAAGTGCTTTGTAAAACAAATTTCTTATTAAAAACTATTTCAACACTTGGTACACAGTGTTCTTTAAGCTAAATACTCTGCAGCCAGTCAAAGTAAGAACGTTTCATATGCAAAATATCTAATTAATATAGACAAATGTGGCTGGCAGTGCTATTAAAATTCAAATACTTTTTATATAATACAAATTTGCATGCAACATTGGTTAGCTTGAAAGGTTCATCTCTTCTTCTTTTGATTCTTCATTGTTTTCGTCATCTTCCTCCAATATACGTTGTAACTCATGAATGGAAGTTATAAGCACCATAAACTGTTTTCTACGCAACTCCAACTTTTCTTCTAATTTCTGTTTTGTAGTAGCCAAACTGGATAACTCTTTGTCTAGTAATTGCAACTGCTTTGTTGTTGCCTGTCTGTCAGGGTGGAGCTGAATAATCTTTGCCAAGTTATCATATTCTTGTCTATTTTTCCTAATACATTTTGCCATCTGTAGTTCAGTTTTAGCTTCAGCTATTCTTGTTGTTGCCTCTTTGATTTTATCATCTATTTCTCTACTTAATTTTTCATAATTTTCCAGTTCCTGCTTGTTCATCTCAAAAGTGTTTATTGCCTTTTCCAAAGTGTATTCACACTGTCCTATCATGGCTTGCATGCGCTGGTACATAGCTTGGGAATTTTCATCTTCTTCTTTGGATGCTGACCAGCGAATGAAAGTTTTAAGAAGATTGTTAAGTCTTTTATCTTCATTCCCACCTTCTCCATCAACCAGTAGTCCCCTCCTTATAATATCATCATCAGATGCAGATGTCATCCTCAGTTTAGAGGCAATTTGATCATACAATCTTGACTAGGCTTAGATTTGGCTTAGATTCTAGTTCTACTAGAATAAACTTTCACAATATAAAAATTATTAAATTAAAACTCTATATTCGAAAATTATCATGTCTTAAGATTTTTTTTTAAAGTCTAACACTTTGATAGATACAATTATGTCAGTATGAAATTGACTTTATCGTGATTTGACAACAAGATGTTTTAAAAATATTTTATCTTTTTTTGTCAATTGTAAAATCTAAAAAAAATCCATGTTATTTCATTATTTTTTGTCGCTTTGTAGTTTGATTGGTTTTTGACAAGAAAATAAAAAGTTCTCTCCCCTGGTAAAAAAAAATGTGCACTATTTTGCACATGTATTTTATCTTGTTTTTTTCATTTATATTTGCCGCTTTTTAGTTTGATTGGTTTTTGACAAGAAATGAAAAGTTCTCTCCCCTGGTAAATAAAATGTGCACTATTTTGCACATGTATTTTATCTTTTCGCTTTAAAAAAGGGAAGTGTCAGTAAGTCTATGGAGAATTTTCGACAAATTCACCAAAACAAATTATATATACACACACACATTTTATATTATTTATAATTAAGGAGCAATAAAACAGTATACACGCCCGCTCTGTTTGAATTTGTTTGAAACAAATGCAGACCCATGTAGCCACAGACCCATGTAACACAGACCCATGTATCCTCAGACCCATGTAACCACAGACCCATGTATCCTCAGACCCATGTAGCCACAGACCCATGTAGCCACAGACCCATGTAACACAGACCCATGTAGCCACAGTTCCATGTAGCCACAGAACCATGTAGACAGACCCGTGTAGCCACATACCCTTGTAGCCACAGAACCATGTAGCCACAGACCCATGTAGCCACAGACCCATGTAGCCACAGACCCATGTAGCCACAGACCCATGTAGCCACAGACCCATGTAGCCACATACCCATGTAGCCACATACCCATGTAGCCACAGACACATGTAGCCACAGACCCATATAGCCACAGACACATGTAGCCACATACCCATGTAGCCACAGTCCAATGTAGCCCCAGTCCAATGTAGCCACAGACCCATGTAGCCACAGACCCATGTAGCCACAGACCCATGTAGCCACATACCCATGTAGCCACAGACCCATGTAGCCACAGACCCATGTAGCCACAGACCCATGCAGTCACAGACCCATGTAGCCACAGACCCATGTAGCCACAGACCAATGTAGCCACAGACCCATGTAGCCACAGACCCATGTAGCCACAGACCAATGTAGCCACAGACCCATGTAGCCACAGACCCATGTAGCCACAGACCCATGTAGCCACAGACCCATGTAGCCACAGACACATGTAGCCACAGACCAATGTAGCCACAGACCCATGTAGCCACAGACCCATCTAGCCACAGACCCATCTAGCCACAGACCCATCTAGCCACAGACCCATCTAGCCACAGACCCATCTAGCCACAGACCCATGTAGACAAAGACCCATGTAGCTACATACCCATGTAGCCACAGACTCATGTATCCACATACCCAATTAGCCACTGACCTACAGGGGAAGACCCTGGTAGCCACGCACATGTATGGACAGACTCTGGTAGCCACGCACAAGACATAAGTAGGAGTAGACCCATGTAAAAACAACCCACTACAACAACATAACCTCGGATATACGGCATTTCATGATAGAACAAAAACATTGGATTCTATCAAGAACCCCCAGGGAAAACGGAAGAGAGGGCGCCCAAGACAGACCTGGAGGCGTAGTCTTCTTGAAGAACTGAACAGGGATGTCTTGGAAGACGGCAAAATTAATAGCCGGGGATTGGAAGAAATGGAAGGAAATGGTGGAGGCCCTATGTTCAATAAGGACAAAGAGGACTAACGTACCGTAACGTACATATTCAAGGGAAGCAACACGCAAAACAAACTTTTAAAGTCGTTAAAAAATTATAATTTATAGTAGGAATATAAAGAAACAATTATTGATACACTTACAAACTTCATATGTTTGTTGAATAATGTAAACAAGTAATAAATTGTAAAGAAAAAAATTGTTCAAATATATTGTAGTCAATTAATAGACTTACAGCTAGTAAGACTAATTTCTGTTTTAATTGAGTAGGTTTATTTTAAACAGTGCTTTATCATTCGTCTTAAGGAAGTAAAATAGATTTTGATTTATTTTTATATTTAAAAAAAGTAAAAACAACTAAATAATATTTTTAGAACACTTTATTTTTTGGACTAACTTTATTTGTAGGCTTGAGAAAATTTCTTTTAAAAAATGTTCACCTTCCTCCTATTTCGAGACATATACATTTTGTATATTATCAAATAAAGAGACACGTTTCTTCAGTAGAAGCTATTGGCATGAGGCATAGTGGATTGAAACACAATCTGCAACCCTTTGGAAACATGGCATCTTCTGCAACCTCAAATGTTCTCTTAATCTGTGTGAGGGCTGTGAAAATAGAATTAGGTTGTTGTCCTCTAGTCCGTGATATGTGAATGTGTAGTGCACATATCTCGAGCATACAGCTGGAACATTTTGATGAGTGACTTATACAGTAAGAGATCAACTACACATGGTGAAATATAGGGGTCACCGTCAACATGATTTTAGGTCAATATTTGAGATCAGTGCTATTTGTAATCGTCCTGTTAAATATATTTCTACTAATTTTTTTTTAATGTCTTTTCTTAGATCTATGTAGTCTATTTTTGACATTTTTTTCACAGCTATTTGATTGTAATTGATTTTCAAAAACAAAAGATCATTTTTCTCCCTTGACAATTTAAAATCGCACTTAACAACAAAAACATTATTTATTAAATTGACATTTTTCTTGCATATAAGCAGCGTGTTTACCGTTAGAAATGTAAATACATTGTTTAATACGTTGTGATCTGTTCATTTTTTATCAATGTTTACAGGGTAATCCATTTAATTTTTTGCCACAATAATTTTATGTTCTATGTTATCGTTTCGCTATGTGGGAAATGTCAGCAAGACATTTTTCAAAAATTCGCCAAAAAATATTTTTATAGGGCAGTAGAAATAACCAGGGATATAAAATAGCATACACATTAGGGTCTGTATCTGCTTGATCAAACTCCAATTTTAAAGAGTTATTGTACAGTCAGTATTTGTGTAGGGTTTGTCAATGTTCCCTATGATTATACATACAATACAAAATAAAGTTCATTTGTGTTTGATGTTTTGTGTTGAATGTGACGTGTCATGAGTAGTCTCTCAATAGTTTGTTTCTAAAAATCAATTACACTAAAATGCAGGTAATATACAAATAGAACAACAAAGAACTTTAAAATCAAAAAGAAAAATTCTTAATATGTCATTAGAAAGTGTTAAAGAATTTACTGTAACTTAGAAAATAAAATTACAGGCTGAATATGTTTTATCTCTTTAAACGTTAGCGATATTATTAAAATTTTGTTTTAAGTTAAGAATTTTCAATTTCAACTACACTGCATTTACGGCACGACCGTTTTGTAATCAATTTATTAAATAAATAGAAAAAATTCTATTTTTTTTTCTAATAGAAGAGTATTAAGGCAAACATAAATGAAAACAGAGATTTTCAAAACAGACCAATGCAAAAAAAAAAAAAAAAAAAAAAAAAAAAAATTAAATAAATAGAAATCCTTGTACATGCTAACTATATAATAAACTATCTGTTGACATCGGTGGTCATCATAAATATTATCATACCCAGATTCTAATCCCAGGGAGGTAAGTGTCCTTAAATGGGGTCAGCAACCCATCTATGAGGAAAACAAATCAGACAACTGCTGTCTAGAATATTTATTTGTTTTGGATGGAAAAAAAAATGTTACCTTTTTAATTGATTAATATTAATGAATTTTTTTAAAAATCGGATGACTCCTATAGATATATTTGTTTGAAAGAGAAAAATGTTTGATTTGATGTGTCACATTGTAATCAACATTTCATTCTGGCTGCTTATATATTTACATTATTTTTCTTTAAACCTAAATGTATTTCACCTCTACTTATAAGCAAAAAGCCCCGCAATCCACAATGCCGATAAAAAAAAATCCATTGAATCACTATTTAATTTTAACATTAGGTAATACAATAAAGTAATTTTAATTATACATTTTGTATTAGATCTATGTATAAGTAAACCATCTTAAACCCGATAATGAAAAATGTAATACTAAAGCGAACATAGCAAGGCAAACTGACGCTGTGAATTATGTATATGAGCCAGAAAAAAAATATGTATTCCTTCAACAAAGTATATAATGCTGTATAAAAACACAACCATGCATACATTGCATGAGATCAATGTAATTGTGTTATAAAATGTAAAAATAAAACATCTTAAGTTTTTCAATGAAGATCCTCTTCTTTAAACATAGAAAACAAGTATACCAACATTGCACTCATTATTGCAAGCAACATTACCTAAACATGCCACTTAAATAAACCTTAATAACCAACCACTACACATACCAATGCTGATATCTTAATTAAACTTGAATGAAAAGCTTTAACACTTTAATCAACTTGTATGCACCGAGTTTGTGGTATCGAATTATAGGCATTGTGCATGTAATGTTTTTTTTTGTAATAGTGGAATCTCATTGATTCGAAACTGATGTGACGGCAACATTCTACCTAGTATTGATCCAACGAAGGCGCTAACTAGCTAAAACAAAAAGTAGCTATTAGCCACTGGTGTATTGAAGCCACCAAATACATTCACTTGGTGGACGGTCTCGAGGGCCTAGTGTATGTGTGGCTGTAACCCCACAGCGGTCATTTATCACAGTCGCTATTGATGCTTGAGTAGTTGAGGTGTTGATGTGACAGCTCTCGGCCATAATAGTCAGTCATAATAAGGACTGCCTAAGCTAAAAGGTAAGAATGTATAACACAAATTGTTAATGAACATTTTTATATCATATTTAGGCAAACCAAAACTTTTAATCAGCAACTATTTCCCCAAATTAACTACATCATCCCACATATGTCCAGTGCACAT